AATACTCAAGGCAATTGCAAACCGTGCCAACAAAGAGAAAAAATAGGACAAGTGCAAAGAAGCCAGAATGGATGTCCAAAGAACTTCTAACTGTGCTAAGACACAAAAGAGACATGCACAAGAAGTGGAAAAAGGGAGAAATCACCAAAAAAGAATTCAAACAAATAGCCAACACCTGTAGGGAAAAGGTCCGCAAGGCTAAAGCAAAAAACGAGCTCAGACTTGCCAGGGACATTAAAAACAATAAAAAGGGCTTCTATTCTTATGTCAGTAGAAAAAGGAAAAACAAGGAGGCGATAGGACCTCTTCGAGGAGAAGATGGGGCAATGCTGACAGGGGATAGGGAAAAGGCAGAACTACTTAATGCCTTCTTTGCCTCGGTCTTCTCACAAAAAGAGAATCTTCAACCTCAGCAAGATGGAGTGGATGAGGGATTGGAGGACATCCAACCCCAAATTGGGAAAGAAGTCGTCCAGGAATACCTGGCCGCTCTTAATGAGTTCAAGTCCCCAGGGCCAGATCAACTACACCCCAGAGTATTGAAGGAACTAGCGGAAGTCATTTCGGAACCATTGGCAACCATCTTTGAGAGTTCTTGGAGAACGGGAGAAGTTCCAGCAGATTGGAGGAGGGCCAAAGTGGTCCCAATCTTCAAGAAGGGAAAAAAGGATGACCCAAACAACTACCGTCCGGTCAGCCTCACGTCGATACCGGGCAAGATTCTGGAAAAGATTGTTAAGGAAGTGGTCTGCAAACACTTAGAAACAAATGCAGTCATCGCTAATAGTCAACATGGATTTATCAAAAACAAGTCATGCCAGACTAATCTGATCTCTTTCTTCGATAGAGCTACAAGCTGGCTAGATGCGGGGAATGCCGTGGATGTAGCGTACCTGGATTTCAGTAAGGCCTTCGACAAGGTCCCCCATGACCTTCTGGCAAGGAAACTAGTCCAATGTGGGCTAGGCAAAACTACGGTGAGGTGGATCTGTAATTGGTTAAGTGGACGAACACAGAGAGTGCTCACTAATGCTTCCTCTTCATCTTGGAAAGAAGTGACAAGTGGAGTGCCGCAGGGTTCCGTCCTGGGCCCGGTCCTGTTCAACATCTTTATTAATGACTTAGATGAAGGGCTAGAAGGCATGATCATCAAGTTTGCAGACGACACCAAAGTGGGAGGGATAGCCAATACTCCAGAGGACAGGAGCAGAATTCAAAACGATCTTGACAGATTAGAGAGATGGGCCAAAACTAACAAAATGAAGTTCAACAGTGACAAATGCAAGATACTCCACTTTGGCAGAAAAAATGAAATGCAAAGATACAGAATGGGGGACGCCTGGCTCGAGAGCAGTACGTGTGAAAAAGATCTTGGAGTCCTCGTGGACAACAAGTTAAACATGAGCCAACAATGTGATGTGGCGGCAAAAAAAGCCAATGGGATTTTGGCCTGCATCAATAGGAGCATAGTGTCTAGATCTAGGGAAGTCATGCTACCCTCTATTCTGCTCTGGTTAGACCACACCTGGAATATTGTGCCAATTCTGGGCACCACAATTCAAGAGAGATATTGACAAGCTGGAATGTGTCCAGAGGAGGGCGACTAAAATGATCAAGGGTCTGGAGAACAAGCCCTATGAGGAGCGGCTTAGGGAACTGGGCATGTTAGCCTGAAGAAGAGAAGGCTGAGAGGAGATATGATAGCCATGTATAAATATGTGAGAGGAAGCCACAGGGAGGAGGGAGCAAGCTTGTTTTCTGCTTCCTTGGAGGCTAGGACGGAACAATGGCTTCAAACTACAAGAGAGGAGATTCCATCTGAACATGAGGAAGAACTTCCTGACTGTGAGAGCCGTTCAGCAGTGGAACTCTCTGCCCCGGAGTGTGGTGGAGGCTCCTTCTTTGGAAGCTTTTAAGCAGAGGCCGGATGGCCATTGTCAGGGGTGATTTGAATGCAATATTCCTGCTTCTTGGCAGGGGGTTGGACTGGATGGCCCATGAGGTCTCTTCCAACTCTTTGATTCTATGATTCTATGATTCTAAGTACCCAGAAGGAAGAACTAATAAATACATACAAAGGATTTTTCAACCTAGTTGCTCAACTCATTGGAAGTTTTAAGAGCCAGTTTCAAATCCTAGCTGAACTGGTGTCAGGGTAACAGAGTGGTTTTACTAAACACTCGCAAAGTATATATGCAGGATTGCAAAAAAAGAAAAAAGAGAAGTACAAACAAAAACATTCCTAGATTTGGTTATTATCTGTAAACAGAAGGCAACTGTAACAAAATTTGAGTGGTTTTATGAGTATATTCTGATGTCTTCTATTTGATTGTTTATTATTTGAAGTGCTTTATTATGTTATGTTTTTTAAGCATCGAATGTTTACCGATTTTTTGTTGTACACCACCCTGAGTTCCTTTTGGGAGATAGGGGAATAGAAATAAAGTATTATTAATATTATTTATACAATGTGCTATACACAGGTGCCCCTGGTGGCGCAGTGGGTTAAACCGATGAGCTGCTGAACTTGCTAACCAATATGTTGGTGGTTTGAATTTGGGGAGCGGGGTGAGCTCCCACTGTTAGCCCCAGCTTCTGCCAACTAGCAGTTCAAAAACATGTGAATGTGAGTAGATCAATAGGTACCGCTTTGGTGGGAAGGTAATGACACTCTATGCAGTCATGCCGACCACGTGACCTTGGAAGCATCCACGGACAATGCCCGCTATTTGGCTTAGAAATAGAGATGAGCACCACCCTCCAGAGTCGGACACAGCTAGACTTAATGTCAGAGGAAACCTTTACCTTTATATACTGATATAACTGGAAGGCAATGTTACCTATCCCAGAATTCCACAGCATTGAGCTAAGTAAAACTGGTATCAAACCGCATTCATTTTACAGTGTCGATGGACTTCAGAGACCTTGGTGGTCTTTCATTCACGTGTATGTGTCAACAAGTCCTGTCAACCCATTAATTTCAAAGCACTTCCTTGGGATTTTCTTTGCAAGGTTGCATTGCCTAAATGAAATATAACCTACAGCACCTGGCAATCTCCCATGCCAGGACTAACCAGAACTGATCCTGCTTAGCTTACAAGATCAGACAGAATCTGATGCAGTGACTCTCCAGTTGTTTTAGATCAGTGTTTCCCAACCTGTGGTCTGTAGATCACCAGTGGTTTCCAAGAATGAAAATACGGTCCGCAAATTCAAAGTTACTACACAGTTGGAATGAGAGCAACTGGTCTTGCAAAACCCTCTTACAGTGCCGAGGCAACGGCGATGTTCAGAGGGGAGAGATTACCTACAAATAGCGTGACAAGCTGCCTAACTGCTGCTTCTCCTCCTCTCCCTGAGTGGAGCTGTTACATGTGATGTCTTGAAGCGGGGCACCTTGTTGTCTTTGTTTTTAGGTCTGTTCCTGGGGTTATTTGAGGTGCTGATTCATTAAATAGCATTAGATAGACCACATCAGCTCTAGATTATTAAATATGGTTTTCTGTGGGCGAGCAGGTGGCGACTACTGGATGACATATGTTCTGTATCAGAAACTAGAGCTGATGTGGTCTATCCAATGCAATTTTCTGAATCAGCACCCCAAATGACCAAACCAAATCTAAAGTTAACCAAAAGCTGATTCATAGCCCTTTTGGTACTAATGTTGGCGAGTGGTCCCTGGTCAAAGTGGTCCCTGGTTAAAAAAAAAAGCTTGGGAACCACTGTTTTAAATGTTCATTCCCAGAAGCTGTGTCCAATGGTCAGGGGTTTTGGAAGTTGGAAGTCCCAAAGGCATGGAAAGCCAATGCTTGGGAACCCTGTTTTTTACAGATGAATTGACAACAAAACTCAAAAGCAATGTAAAACAAGCCTATTAAATATTGATTGGACATGGGTGGGAAATGAGGAAAGTCTGTGCATGCTCATCATGGCCCTGTGTTCACTTCCACATAATGCTGTTTGGAACTGCATTGTATGGTTAGTGTAGACTTGTATAATAAGTGAAGAAAGAGGGGGGCAGAAAACAATTCCATCCTGTCTCTTGTGCTTTACTAATAATATAATATAATATTACAATATAATGGTATAGTACAACATAGTAATATATAATAATGGATAATGAGACTGGATTCTGATTCTGTCAATGAGACCTGACGGATTTGTTATATTGATGTATTGATGTTTGATGTTATTTAATTGTTATGCTATTGATTTTAAATGTCCAATGATTTTGTATTGTGTATATTGAAACTGTTGTTGTTAACCCCTCTGAGTCGCCTAAGGGCTGAGAAGAGCGGTATACAAATAAGGTAAATAAATAATAATAAATAAATATTGTACTATGCTAATAATATAATATATTATCGAAGGCTTTCATGGCCAGAATCACTGGGTTGTTGTAGGTTTTTGGGGGTATATGGCCATGTTCTAGAGATTCTCTCCTGACATTTTGCCTGCATCTATGGCAATGCATCCTCAGAGGTAGTGAGGTCTGTTGACATAGATGCAGGTGGAAACGTCAGGAGAGAATGCCTCTAGAACATGGCCATATAGCCCCAAAAAACCTACAACAACCCAATATAATGTATGTGTGTGTGTGTGTATAACAACACTGAAGTGCATTAGATGAGGCATGGGCAAACTTGGGCCCTCCAGGTGTTTTGGACTTCAACTCCCACAATTCCTAACAGCCTCAGGTCCTTTCCTTTTCCCCTCAGCCGCTTAAGCGGAAGGAAAAGACCTGAGGCTGTTAGGAATGGTGGGAGTTGAAGTCCAAAACACCTGGAGGGCCCAAGTTTGCCCATGCCTGGCCTACATTTACCACACAATTCAGTTTATATGGCACTGCAGGTGGGGCCTATTGCATGTCCTTCAGTTCTGTGGTGGTGCTTCCACGCAAGTGTGTCTTCTTCGTCTTCCATCGTTTTATGCCAAGTGGGAAGAGGCGGGAAGCGGAACGAAGGCCCAGAAAGTCCCTTAGCAGTTTAACGAGCCCTTACTCTTTCGTGAGGAGGCCTCCTTGGAGGATGTTGTTAGGCCGCAGCACCTCCTTCCTCTTGCCGAACTTGGACATCGCTGAAAGAGAGAGAGATCCTCACAGGATGGGCTTCGCGCCTCTTCCGGCCGCTTAGCGTTCGCCCCGTTGCCAGGCGACACTCCGCGAGACCGTAGAGATAGAAACAGAGTGACACGCGGAGAGCACTTCCGGTAAGTAGAGCTATGAAAGCGCAGCATAGTAGAACTACACTGACTTCTTACACAGAGGCATGACAACAAGGAAAGGAAGAATAGCCATTCTGTGCCAAGTTGCCAGGGCAACACACCGTGCATCCATTCTGCACAATCAACATAGCTTGAGTCCAGTTTTATCTTCCATGGCTCAATCCTGGGATTTTGTAGTTTTGGAAAGCATTCAGCCTGCTCTGCCCAAGAGGATCCCAGCATCCCATAGTATTGCATCTATGCCTTCCACACAGCCATATAACCTAGAATATCAAGGCAGGAAATCCCACAATATCTGCTTTGAACTGGAATATATGGCATGTGGACTCAGATAATCCAGTTGAAAGCAGATATTGTGGGATTCCCTATCATAGAATCAAAGAGTTGGAAGAGACCTCATGGGCCATCCAGTCCATCCCCCTGCCAAGAAGCAGGAATATTGCATTCAAATCACCCCTGACAGATGGCCATCCAGCCTCTGTTTAAAAGTTTCCAAAGAAGGAGCCTCCACCACACTCCGGGGCAGATATTTTGAATTATATGGCTGCGTGGAAGGGCCCCAAGAATATCAAGGCAGAGAATCCCCTGCCAAACTGATAATGTGGGATTTCCTTGATATCTTGATATTCTGGGATATAGGGCTGTGTGGAAGGCCCTGAGTCCACATAGCCCTATATTCCAGTTCTAAAGCAGATAATGTAGGATTTTATTCAGCTGTGTGGTAGGACCCTCAATGCTGTGGGATCCTGGGATTTCTAGTTTTGGAAAGCATTCAGCCTGCTCTGCCAAAGAGGACCTTAGCAAATTACAACTCCCAGGATCCCGCAGCATTACATGCATGCAGTGCAGTTAAAGTGGTGTCAAAACTACGTTGACTCTATCTATATGCCACTTATCTTAATGTTATGTTTTTGTTTTAAAGTGACAGATTTAGTTGTAAACCCCTGATCTCTATTCTAAAGCACTTTATTTTTCTTTTCAAGGAGCAATGTGCTTCCATCTGTTTAGTTATGATAGTTTCATATCTTTTGCACTAACACATTTAATTATTACTAGCCACCTCCTGCCACGCCTTGCTGTGGCCCACTCTGTTTATATATGTTTTTTGTGTGTATATATTTGTGTATATGTATGCATATATATGTGTTTGTGTATATATGTGTGGTTTTGCGCATGTGTTGTAACATAATTTTTGTTTTTTGACTTTTTAAGTCCCTTCCACTGTGTTTTTCATTGTTGTTATGAGTGATGGTCACTCATTGGGCTGATAGGGGTATTGTGTCCAAATTTGGTGTCAGTTCGTCCAGTGGTTTTTGAGGTATGTTAATCCCACAAATGAACATTACATTTTTATTTATATAGATGATGATGATGATTATTATTATTATATAGTGTATGTACTAACCTCTTACCTTTTGTAAATTGTTACTACTTGAGAATCTATCTATATGCTTTTAAAATTATTTTAATTACCTGTTTTTTTTTAAAAAAAAACTGTTAATATTATTGATTGCTAAAGAAAAATTTCCCAATCCCTACTTTTGTAGTTTAAAAGGTCAGACAAATGATAGCACTGTTATCTGAATCTGATGTTTACAGCATAGAATCCTAGAGCTGGAAGAGACCTCGTGGGACATCCAGTCCAACCCCCTGCCAAGAAGCTGGAAAATCGCATTCAAAGCACCCCTGACAGATGGCCATCCTCTGTTTAAAAGCTCTCCAAAGAAGGAGCCTCCGCCACACTCTGGGGCAGAGAGTTCCGCTGTTGAACGGCTCTCACAGTCAGGAAATTCTTCCTAATGTTCAGATGGAATCTCCTTTCTTGTAGTTTGAAGCCATTGTTCCGCATCCTAGTCTCCAGGGCAGCAGAAAACAAGCTTGCTCCTGCCTCCCTATGATTTTCCCTCACATATTTATACATGACCATCATGTCTCCTCTCAGCCTTCTCTTCTTTGGGCTAAACATGCCCAGCTCTTTAAGCCGTTTGTCATAGGGCCTGTTCTCCATACCCTTGATCATTTTAGTCGCCCTCCTCTGGACACATTCCATCTTAAGAGTCAACATTCCCTTTGATTGCGGTGCCCAAAACTGGACACAATGTGATTCCAGGTGTGGTCCAACCAAGGCAGATTAGAGGGGTACTATAACTTTCCTGGATCTAGACACGATACTCCTATTAATGCAGGCCAAAATCCCATTTGCTTTTTTGCCGCCACATCACATTGTTGGTTCATGTTTAACTTGTCCACAAGGACTCCAAGATCTTTTTCACACATACTGCTCTCGAGCCAGGCATCCCCCATTCTGTATCTTTGCATTTAATTTTTTCTGCCTATGTGGAGTATCTTGCATTTGTCACTGTTGAACTTCATTAGTTTTGGCCCATCTCTCTAATCTGTTAAGATGGTTTTGAATTCTGCTCCTGTCTTCTGGAGTATTGGCTATCCCTCCCAATTTGGTGTTGTCTGCAAAGTTGAACAGATGTTGAACAGAGCCAGGCCCAGGATAGTATTCATAATGAAACAGTTACAAATTGTTCGGGAATTTTGAAGTATTATAAAAATTAGAGAAAAGTTTTTCTTGATAACTTGAGAATGTATACATCATAATTATCACATTGAAACAAACCCTTTTTCATGGCTCCTGAAATCATTGGTTTTATTGCACAAAAGCATCTTCCTTTTGTCGCTCCTGACACTACAAAAAAAAAACTTCCTATAGTATTTTTTGTTACCACTGATCCAATGAATTTAAAAAAATATATTTTATCTGTAATGATTGGAAGAAGGAGAGAAGGGGAGTACAACAATATGCCTCCATGACATCTCTCTTGAGCAAGTGCAAAAGCCCCAAACTTGGGGACAAACTAATCTTCCTTTCAATGACTATTAATATTATTTTCATAACTCCACTCATTAGGATACTGAACTTCCGAATGCTCAAGTATCTTACAATTCTTAAAACTATCAGCTGGTTATCAGAAAATTCTTAAAATAATCAGGTGGTTATCACCGTTATCAGAAAACACATTATGCTCTTAGTAGAAAAACTTGTTTAGATTTCAAGGACTTTCAGTTGGAAAAAAATAAGGAGTAGTTTATAGTCAACAAAAGTTAACAATATGAGTAAGTTTGAGAAGCAATAGTTGTCTTTATTAAGATACTTATACTTTCTACGGAAAGCAGAATGTACTAAAAATGTGTAACAGCAAATTTTTCTTATAAATTGATATAGCATCAGTTAGCCAAGTACCAATGTCATGCCTTTTGCCACATCTGGTAATATAGGAGGCTGTAATGGGCGTGGATACAGATACTCACTGCCTTGAGGTCTGTTGTCTTAAGTAGTTCACTGGAAAATCGATGAAAGTCTTCAAATATTAAGTTTAAGTGTGTGTGCATTTTTTCTAAATTAAAGTAAGACTACACATTTTCTGTCTTTTCACAGTGTCTATGTTTATTTCTTTTACAAAGCACGGAGTTTGATTTTTTTTTTAAAAAAAAACAAAAACAAAAACACCAGGACTTACTTGAGTTCGATGTAGTTTCCACTTAATGTGTTCCAGTGGTGTTTAATACTTAATATTTAAATAAAAGGGGAAATGAGAATGGTAGAAATTTGGCAAATCTCAATTAAAAGGTGCTGGCTTTTTTTGGAACTTTAACAAAGGTAGTGAAGGCGTAGAACAAAAGACTAGCACAAAAAAATCTGGTCTTTGGAATTTCTTTTTAAGTGACAAAGTGCCAAAATGTGTCATATAAAATATCTAGATCTTTACATTTAAAAAAAGAACACATACACTTGAATGACATTATACTTATTATGAGGCACATAAAATGTATCTGACGCTGAGTTTAAATCTGTAGAAAGTTGGGCCAACGTATTTCAAGATATGTAGCAGCTGACAAACTATGGCAAACTAGTATAATGTGAAGAGGAGATAAAACCCTACTAAAACAGGTTTAACAACAACATGAGGTGAATGAAGGTATTTATCAGAAGTGTTTCCTCCATACCTCTACAAATACCACCAGAAACAATCCATAGATTTTTTTCCAAAATACATACTGCACATCATTTTCATAGTTTTATATATTTCATATTTTTACAACCTTAAGGCTTCTAACAATAAACCCAGAATGACATTTCAAAGTTGTTCTGGTGAATAAAAAAATGTGACACCCCTATTAACAGTGCTGTATTAAAAAGTTAAGTGGCAGGATACATGTCTTCCAGAAGCACCATGATTGAGGAAAGGATTTTGTCAACACCACAACTGATGAATTATGGTAAAGGACCAGAATGCTTTGTATTGCACTTTGGCTTCATAAAACAATGAGATAGTTTAATTAAGGCCATTAGTTAGCTTTGAACCAACAATGTTAGATTTTTTTGAACAAAGTTTGTGCTTATGCAAGAAAGGGCAACTTCTCTTTACCATTTAATGGGGTCTATAGTATTACTTGATGTATACAGAAATACTAAAGTGTTTATTATTTCCATTACCAGAATGTGAGTATCAGATATGGATTGTTGGATGGACTTAATACTCTTACAGATGGACTTGGAATAAGAGTTCATGTTTTTATTTTCCAAGCAACTGACTCTTACAAAGTTTAAAAGGCACTGTAAAATAGGGAGTCGTTTCCATTAATTAATATCAATCCTGTGTTACTGAGAAAGGAAGGCTTATGTGGTTGCCAGGTGTCTCACAAAGACATTTTGTTGGTATTCTGTTATTGAACAGGGTTTTGAAAGCAGCAGAAGAGAGGCAAAAAGAAAGGTGTATTTAAAAAAGAAATAAGCAACAACAAAAATAGTGCTTATCAAAATGAACTCTTCCACAATTTCTATACTCAAATTGTACTGTGGAGGGCAAAAGTTGGGACAAAGTCTTTCCTACTGACTTTTGTCCACAAATAATAGCCTTTTTTTTTTGCTGGACACAAGCTCTCAGACTGTGCTACGTAGTTCACAAACACAGATTTGATGTACAAGGCAATTTTAAAGTCCTGCTTGACAAGAAAAAAAGTGTAAACACCCTGAAGTGTCACCAACTCAAAAGAAAACAATACCCCAAAGGGTTGTCATGATGAAGCACCATAGCAGCTGTCCAACATGAAGAGCAAGAACTTAGCTGCTCTCACATAGTGTGTCAACGCAAGATAAAAATGTAATTAACAGCACTGAAATTTACTCTCTGCCTTCAGGGTATCTGAGTCCAGTTTCAGTTTTCCCACATCATTCTCCTCATTGGGAAAGGCTTTGAGGTTTGCAAGGATGTTTTCCACCAAAAACCGAGCAGCTTCATCAATGTTGATATTATCCTGGAAAAACAAGATGATATATTAATGCTTTCTTGCACAGAAGAATTCAGATAGTCTAAAATGCCACTGCTTCAACATAGAAATATTCGACACACATGGTGTTATATTCATTACAGACAGACACGTCTGTAAAATCTAAGAACCATAAACAAAACCTGGATGTTTATGAATTATGACTGAGTATCATTAGTGACTTTAAAAAACACACGTTAGCATTCCTAAACACTTAACATGAGTGAGGTTTGCCCACCTACAACTAGAAAACCCCTTGAGGCTGTCTTATTGTAGATGTGAGTGAATATAGCCAGAAATGGCCAGAAACGGTAAACAAAACAAATCAACTCATTGGAATGAAGGCACCAGCTAAATCAAGCAAAAAGGAGTATCTTAAAAGCCAAGGGACTTCATAATAAAAATCATAGTCTTACACTGGTTTTGGTGTTGAGAGCTTGCATAGTAGAAGGATTTAAATGAATCTAGGAGATTACATTTTGAACCCTCACTCAGGTGACCTGCATCAGGGCCTTTTAACTTTTTCAATTCACAACCCCTTTCTGCCTGAGAAATTTGGTCATGACCCTGTTTCACCCAAGAAAGCTTTATGCAATCTCAGGTATATAGAATATGGGTAAAATCAAGCATTTACTAATAAGGTGCTATTATTTGCAAGGCTTGCTAAACAAGCTGATTTTCCTTTTTATGAACTACAGCTGAAGCATCTTCTGCAGAGTTGACTATAAACCAGACATGGGCAAACTTTCTAACTTAGGGGCTGCATGGTGGGTTGGAGTGGGATGGGTCAGGAGGGAGGGAGAGGGCTCTTCCCAAGTCCTTTGCATCCCAAAAGGGTTCCACTTGGTCAGGATGAGATGTTGGGTGGGAGAGAAAAAGTGTATCCATTAGACTCCCGTATTGCCTACTCCTGATATAGAACCCTAGAGTTGTTGGAAGAAACCCCCAAGGGTCATCCAGACCAACCCCCTGCCCTGCAGGAAGGCACAATCTTCTTAAACTTTTCAGTCCAATATCTTTTCCTGCCATTTGAAACCATTGCTCCTTTGTGCCCTAGTCTCTAGAGCAGCTGAAAGTCACTTTCCCCCTCCTCCTCAATAAGGCACCCTTTTAAATCTTGAAACATGGTTCTCATGTTCCCTCTCTACCTTCTCTTCTCCCAGCTAAACATCCCCCAGGAGGAAAAAAGGAAGGAAAAAGAGAAGGGAGGGAGGGAGGAAGAGAAGGAAGGAAAGAAGGAAGGGAGGGAAGAAAAAGAGAAAGAAGGGAAGATAAAAGGGAAGGAGGGAGGGAGAGATGGAAGGAGGGAGAAAAGAGGGAAGGAAGGGTGGAAGGGTGGAAGGAAAGGGAGGGAAGGAAGGATGAAAGGGTGGAAGGGAAGGATGGAGGGATGAAGGAAAAAGAGAAGGGAGGAAGAATAAAAGGGAGAAAAGGAAGGAAGAAGGAAAGGAGAAAGAGGGAGGTAAGGAAAGAAAGGAAAGATAGAAGGAGGAAGGAAAAGGAGAAGGAAGGAAGGAAGGAAGGAAGGAAGGAAGGAAGGAAGGAAGGAAGGAAGGAAGGAAGGAAGGGCTGGTGAGAGAGAGGAGGGCCTGAGAAAAAAGCTCAAGGGGGTGCACCTGGACCCCGGGCCTGGGTTTGACCATAACTGCTATAAACACTCCGTTTTGTTGCTAACAGGTTTGTGTAAATGGGTGGTGTTCAGAAACCTTTTACTGTTGCCAAATTGTTTGTGACAATTGAGCTAAGGGAACCACATCTGGGATTGGGACTCACAGTTTAAGAATCCTAATAGCTTTCCTTCTCTGAATAGAATCCTAATAGCTTTCCTTCTCTGAATAAATATTGCAACCCCCCCCCCCCCAAAAAAAACACCAGTTATCATAGGGTCACCATTACAGTTGAGCTAGCTCAAGGCACACAATAACAATTGCAACAATCAACATATAGTATTTATTTATTTATTTATTTATTTTATAACATATAGTGAAGCAACATTATCTTAAAGTGGTCGCCAATTAGCACAATTTGTCCATACACATTTTTATCACAGACGAATGTGCTGGGTAGCTGAACAAACAAATTGTATTTTGCGGATATGTATTATCCCCAAAAGGTTTTTATTTTTCAACACACAAATTTCTGTATAGTTTTTGAGATTTGAAGACACACATATATACAAAGCCAAACACCACTGAAATATCTCCCTTTATGTGACTGTGAATGAACTTGTGAGTAGTTAAATTATTGTTCAAAACAGGCAGACATGTGATTACTGTTTCTTTTAAGAGTCACATGCAACTCTGCTTGCTGCCCTTTCAGACTGCAACCAAAAGAACAGTAGGACTATAAGGCTGACTCTATATTTGCTGAAATGTATTTGGGTGTTCTCCTTTCTATATAACTAAAAACATGAACATCGGAAACTACACAGTTATATGGCAAAAAGAAAATGTGCCTCAATCCTATACACAGAAGTTACATTTATAAAAATAGTAAAAAGATGAAAATGTAAAATGAAGACTTGAACAGATTAATTTACTCTTTCTTTGGCTGTCATAACTTCATTAAGGAGCATTACATTAATTTTTCTATATTCCTGTGATCATTACTACATTTTGAAACCAAACAGTGAAGATTTTGCCTGACAACTATGCCATGAAATTTGAAACCAAAATGATGTCTATATGGCAAATGTAAAAGTTAGTCTTTCTCTGCTCATAGTTAACATTTCATAGTCTACTCCTGTACTCATTCAAAGCTCCTCTTCTTTGCAGCCAAGCCATTACAAAAACCACAGAAAGCACTGCAAAATTCCATAAAAGCCTCATCAGATCAATACCACTTAAGATTTGCTCACTGAATCAAGGAACTGACATGAAAACCTGTCTAGCAACCTAGAAATGATCTTAAGTTTGAACATGCAGTAACTTCTGGAGAATTTGGCTTTTTACATAACCAAAAAGATACTGTCCTTTTTGATAAAACCTTTTGTTATTGCTACTATTTGCCCTCAAGTCAATTTCAGCTTTTGATAACTGAATGAAAGACTTCCAACAGCTCTGATCATTAATTGCCCTGTTCAATTTCAGACCTGCAGCTTCCTTGTTTGAATCCACCAGTTTCCAATGCAACCATCCTCTTTTGCACTTTAACAAGCATCATAATATTTTCCGACAAGGTCACATTGTCTCATGATATGTTCGAAGTGTGAAAGCCTTGGACAAGTTGTCTGGGCTTCTAATGAGAGTTCAGGCATGATGTGCTCTATGACCCAATTATCTGCCTTTGTAGTATCCGTAGAACTTTCCTCCAGCACCATATTTTAAATAAGATAAAAATCAGTAGAGAAAGAGTAATGTTTCTCTGAAAAAGTGCTATAGGATAGGCTCAAGAATTTAAATGGGCACAATTACCACTCTGTTGGAACAAAGTTTTTAAAAGGCAAATGCCTGGCTTTTTAATGGAATTGAATGTGATATTCATAATATTTACCACTGCCTTCATACATCAATGCACAACATGACACAATGAAGGAAATCCAATAGTAAAGAGGAGTTTAGGATCCATATTAGGACAAGCTTGTTTGAAACTGCTCCCAAATGTTGGGTAGTGAGGCAGCTCAGCAGTTCCTTAAACCTGCTTCAAACCAATTTAACTGCTACAACTGAGAAATAAAGTAAAAATTATATTTATAGGTTAGTAAGTTATGCAGACTACTGAGTAACTCTGTAAACTAATATAATTTACTACAGAAACACATTACAATAATGAGATTATTTAGAATAATTCTTACCTTAGCAGAAGTTTCAAACCACCCTACAAAACCTCCATCTTTGCAAAACTGATCCATCTGTGATGCATTTGGGCCACTGTCTTTCTTCTGGTCACATTTGTTGGCAAGGAGAACTGCAGGGATTGGGCTACCATTTGGCAGAAGCACTTTACTGTCCAAATCATGTTTCCATTTGGAAACTGCCTCAAACGTTGATCCTCTTGTAACATCAAAAACTACAAAAGCACCCACAGCTTCTTTATAGTACACACGGGTCATATTGCCAAATCTTTCTTGACCTGGAAGACAAATGAGCAGGTGTTATAGATCATACTTCTAAGCACTGGGCTCCTTAAGGCAGTGGAAGTAAAATGCTTATAAAAATGTTTGTCCTAATATTTTGTTTAATATAGATGAATAAGATATAAAAGACTCTTGGTTACCTCTGGGGTTTGGTTCCAGTACATACATGGACACATACAATCATACCAAAATCTAAGGATGCTCAAGGCCCATTATAAACAATAATGTAGTGAACTGACATCCCTTAAATAAAATGGCAAAATCAAAATATGCTATTTGTATTTTTAAAATATGTATTTATGAACTGTGGATAGTTAAATATGTCTGTGTCTTCATAAGCCAAAATACCATGGCATTATAAAGAGCTATGTCTTGACATATTGAATCTCACCTTTAAGGGTTTTCATTGGTAATAGGGGAAGATATTTATTTATTTATTTATTTCAAAGTTTTCTATACCAACCTTCTCACCTCATTGAGGGACTCAGCCCGGTTTCCAACCATAAAAACACATACAATCAGTAAAATATCATAGTTCACAATTACAGTAACACATTTAAAATAACAATATATTTAAAACTACGGTGGTCAGTCGTCATATTAAAATCAAATATACATCATCTTCCATCCAAAATCCTAGGGTGTTGTCTCATTCATCGAAAGCCTGTCTCCACAACCACGTCTTCACCCGTTTCCTAAATGTCAGGATAGACAGGGCGGTTCTGACCTCCGGTGGGAGAGAGTTCCAGAGTCGCGGGGCCACCACCGAGAAGGCCCTGTCCCTCGTCCCCACCAGGCGCGCCTGTGCGGCCGGTGGGACCGAGAGCAGGGCCTCTCCAGACGATCTTAATAATCTTGATGGTTCGTAAGGGAGAATACGTTCGGAGAGGTAAACAGGGCTGGAGTCGTTTAGGGCTTTATAGGTTAACACCAGCACTTTGAATTGTGCTCGGAAGCTAATTGGCAGCCAGTGGAGCTGGTGTAACAGCGGAGTGGTGTGCTCCCTGTACCCAGCACCCGTTAGTAATCTGGCTGCCGCACGTTGGACTTGCTGCAGCTTCCGGGCAGTCTTCAGAGGCAACCCCACGTAGAGAGCGTTGCAGTAATCTAAGCGGGATATAACCAAAGCGTGGACTACCGTGGCCAAGTCAGACTTCCCAAGGTACGGGCGCAGCTGGCGCACAAGTTTTAGTTGTGCAAAAGCTCCCCTGACCACTGCCGAAACCTGGGGCTCCAGGCTCAGCGATGAATCTAGGAGAACTCCCAGACTGCAAACCTGCGCCTTCAGGGGGAGTGTGACCCCATCCAGCACAGGCTGAAACCCCGTACCCTGTTCGGCCTTACGACTGACCAGGAGTACCTCTGTCTTGTCTGGATTTAGTTTCAATCTGTTGTCCCTCATCCAGTCCGTTAGAAGAAGAGAGAACTTGGTCCTAATGATAATGGATTATTTACCTCCATCTCTGCACCAACAACAGTTAACAAATTAGGTAAAGGTTTCCCCTGACATTAAGTCTAGTTGTGTCTGACTCTTGGGGTGTGTGTGTGTGCTCATCTCCATTTCTAAGCCGAAGAGCCAGCATTGTCCATAGACACCTCCAAGGCCATGTGTCCGGCATAACTGCATGGAGCGCTGTTACCTTCCCGCAGAAGCAGCACCTATTGATCTACTCACATTTGCATGTTTTCGAACTGCTAGGTTGGCAGAAGATGGGGCTCAGTGGGAGCTCACCCACTCCCTAGATTCGAACTGCTGACCTTTCGATCAGCAAGTTCAGCAGCTCAGTGGTTTAACTTGCTGCACCACTAGGGGCTCCTTTGTTTACAAATTATGAGACACTAATTGCCATAATACCACTGCTTCCTAAGTATCTGTGCAAAATTTGCTGCTAGGTCTAGATGTGCTGGAATTCCTATGCAACCACAAAGAACCTTCCTTCTTTATATGGTGGTGAATTTTTGAGATCCACATTCAAATGATCCACCAGCATCACTATAACTCTTTTGCATCCATATAACTCTTTTTCTGAATCAGTATGACTTCAGAATCAAATGGATTCTTTTTGTCCTAATATCAACTTTCCTCTTATTGTTCCAAGTCTGGACACCACCAAAATTTACTATCAAGCTCAACTCTGCAGCAACTGAAACATGTAAACCTACCTACGGATCCATCATCCATGCAAAAATAAACTTTCAGAGAAGACATGTTTTATAAATGTTTATTATTCTACTAGAATATTCATGTATCCTATTACAAGAGATTAATGCAACTGACATTTGTATAACATTTTATCCACAGCTCCTCAAAAATCCCAATTCAAAACCAGACAGGTATAATGCAAGTGCTGCTCTTGTTAGAAACTCTGAGTCAACAAGCACAGAGACAAAGGTGTCAAAATAACAAAGGTCAGCTTGTTTCCAAACTGCATATTATTTTAAAGTAAACAGTGACCACATGTATAATTAAGGAATTAGTCCTTCAAAATCTCTCCAGATAACATATCAAAGCAGTAAGCAGATAAACTGCTAGCCTTTAGCGATATCATTCATGTGATCCTCCAGTTGTCTTCGACTGCAATTCCCAACATTCATTACCATTAGATATGTTGTCTAGGACTGCTGAGAGCTGTGATCTAACATCATGACTGTCTACTTGAAAGTACCCCTTTCAAAACCATTAATTACTCCCCTCCCACATACAATTCTTTTTAAAAGTAAACAAGTCTTCACTTATTTATCCAAGCAGGACTTAAGGTGTCTTACAATATATATTTTTTGAAAAAATGTAAATTTTAAAAAGGGCAATTATAAGCAACACGCTTGCAAAAATATTAATTACAGCCCAGGTTGTAACTGGATAGTGGCAGGTGAGCAAGCTTCAAGGCCTTGTATGGCTTGTGTGTTGGACTCTGGCAACCAGGATTCAATTCTTTCCTCATCCAAGGAAACCTACTAGCTGTCATTGGGCAAGTCGCACACTGGAAATAATATGAAGGAACAGAACAACAGCAAAAAAGTATATGTATAACAGGATAGGCATTTGCATTGGTCAAATTATCCATGTAATGTAAGTTATACTATGAAGTGCTCGGCCTATGTATTAGTCTGAAACAGGAAGGATTGTCACCTACCAATGTTGCCCTTTACTGTCTACATCATATGCAGAATTAGTCTCCACCCAAAGATCTGACATCATTAAAAAAAACCAAAACCCAATGAAGGGGGTATTTTGCTCCCCATCTAAATAAAGTGGTAAGAAATATGAAACTGTTCAGTTTTTCTGAAAGTTTGATTTTGTTCATTTAAGTCTTGCTTGATCACATTCCCATTGCAGGGACACATTTCTACAAAGCTACCAGTATCATTATTACTAGCCACTACTATTGTTAGTGGTCAATATTTTCATATTGTATTTGCTCAGATTTCTGTGGGAATATTATAGAATCTCTTGCATTTCACAGCCTCTTATTTTATACCTATGCATCTGCTGACAACAGGCCCGTAGCCTGGATTTTGTTTCGGGGGGGGGCTGAGTTTGGTTCGGGGGGGGGCTGAGTCTGAGTGAAAGAGGGTCTACCCTAGCAAACCTTTTGTATCGTTACCCCAATACCCCCATGCATATGGGATATATTGAGCATGGTGATCAGATCATGATATGAACAAACATAACAGTTGGGGGGGGATGAAGCCCCCCCCCCCGCCCCCCGGCTACATGCCTGGCTGACAAGGTAAAATTTCACACAGCTTTAAGATAGATTCCAGTTAAATGAAAGCTTAAGACATCAAAAAAGTGTCTGTCTTTCAAGTGCTACTTTGAGATCCTTGTTTCAGACTAATAGCTATCCTTCTGAAATATAGCTAGGAATAGTTATTAATTTCAGATGGGGAAACAGAAATAGCCCCCAAGCAACTTAAAACAAAAGCTCTAAATCCCATTCTAGAGTAAACCCACTGAATGGGAACCTGGCAAATCCCAAATTATGTACATTTCATTTATGTGAAAAAGTCAAGTTTTGTTTGCAATTAACAATGTGTTTTAGACTTCAAAGTTGACAACCAGCAGGTTCTCCCTCTAAGCTACTGCCTATTTCATCAAATGAAAGGAGTCTGGAGTCTCACATATATATGCAACACACATGCTTAAGAGCAGGATTTTAGACAGATTACTGGGAAATTAAATGCAGAAAAACAATTTTCATTATTATTATTATTATTATTTACTATTTGTAAACTATGTTATTAAGTATGATGGCAGATTATAAACAAAGCTGATGAACAAACCCCTGGTGATGTAAGGGCAGATGTGTATTTAAAGATTATGTATTGGAGATTGTAAATACTTGAGTCATGAGTTTTTGTTCAACAAGTCTGAACAAATGTAGTTGTACTGAAGGGCTTAGATGCAAACAGTTTTGTGATGTTATCTGGATGGAAACTGGAGGCATGTAGATGAGACTTCATAATTTAAGGGTTTATATCAAGTATGTCTCCAATAAAAAACTTTATCAAGTCAAGTGGAGAAAAACCAAAGGAAAGGGAAAATTTACTGAAATCTAGATGTAGAAAAGAAAATTTAGGAGTACTAATTGTAACTACTTATAGCTCCCAGGTGCAAGCACATCTCTACCATCAGTAAATTATAGTCCATTTTGGACAGTGCCATTTCCTTTCATAGGTCTTATACGGTCAGTTTGTGCCCTCTGCTGGCCCCCCAAAAGTCCACCAATCTTGAATGATTACTTGCTAGCAACAAGCCACACTATAAGGACACAAATACAGAGACCAGCCCAGGATGGTCCAATTCTGTCAACAACTTTAAACCAAGAGTACAATTACAATCCACGTCATTCTTAACATCAGGGGCTCATTCAATTGCCTATTTTATGATGTGGCAAATGTCATCTTCTGTCAGCAATATTGTTCTGCATGCAACGTAAGATAAGATATGATAAGATAACATGCTGGAAGAACCAAAAACCACAAGCATTGAAGC